AGAGCAGAACAGCAATTTAAATGGAAAAATGAGTGGTATATAAATAAAAAATAGACACTTAGCTTCATCAATTATTTTACAACATCTGAAACTGACAACTAGAAAACTTTAACAAATTATGAGCAGAGCATACCCGCAATCTGGTCGATCGGCTGGGCGTTCAGTAAACAATGACCCACCAACGCTATAAGAGAGTTAACCAGCTCGTCAGGCAATAATCATACTATTTCATTATTTGATAGATATCACAACAGAAATACGAAGGAAAAGTGTAAAATTAATACATAACTTTTGATTAATAATTTTGTTTAGTATGCAAAAAATATGTTGATGTAAAGCTTGTGAATTTAATCATATTTATTTCTAGGTCAGGCAGAATTTTGTATGGAAAAAACCTCTCTACTTTTAATACCTCTTGTGTTATTCCTCATAGCTAGAAATAATTTTTGCATCCAGTTGAAGTTTTTCTTTGTAAGTTCTTTACTAATAAGTTTTATTCAATAAATAAATTTATGAAAAACTATCAATAGATATATGATCTTTTCAAATTTAACCTTTTTGAAAAAAATTTAAGCAAACAAAATTCTCTCTATTGTTTCAATGCACATTGTTAATGTACACTTGTCCATTTGTCTGCATTTTAATTTGTAGGATTCTTGTACACATGCTAGCACGCATGCATTCTCACATGTAATCACACACAAATACATGGACAGTAAGTACACACATATATTAATACACCCATGTTTATACATGTGTATACACATACCACATTCACAATCATGCAATTTATTCATTACAAAGGTATTTACATTTAACTTTTCACACATTGTGATAAGATTCTTATTACAAAGTGTTACATTCTGACATTTCTGACATTCTGACTACAGTCTGACATTTCTGGACCTTTAATGGATTCAGAAATAAATTTAGCTAAAAAATGCAATATCAGAGAAAAAGAAGAATGAATTGTTATTTTGATTTTAATGAATGGATAAACAGTAATAATTTATTGTAAGAGACAAGTGTATATTACTGCTCATTAAAATGTAACAATAGATTTATTAAAGAAGAAAAGGTAATTGCCTTATGTTGTTTGCAAATTTTATGTCTTTCTTTGTTATATTGTTCAAAAACACAGTACATTCAGAACATTAGTTACTTTTTAGCATTTTTTTAAGAGGTAGATCACATTGCTCTTCACAGAAATAATTTACACCAACATTTATATTCTCTTTATTCTCTACACTAGGTATTCAAAAGGAATACTTTTTTTATTGTTTAGAAAATTCCTGTCTTGAGAATTTCCTTTCAGAATTGTTGAATCAGTGAAATCACAATTTTTCATACTTGTAAGATCAAAGTAAGTCAAATGTATTAATAAGTTGTTTTTTTTACTTGTATGTGACAACAGTGAAGTCATTCATATTTTATTTTTAATTGAGTATTTTTTCTTTTATATCAATATTTATTTATGTCTTCTATTTTTCAAAATACTTTTGTAATTATTTATTCTTATTTTATATTATTTTACCCATATCACAAGGGTTGAATGCATACCAACAATTTATTTTATAAAGAAATCTTAGTTTTTCTAGAAAACCAAATATTTAGTATCTGTAAATTTAAATGGTGTGCTCCCCTATTGTTGCTTTTGTTTACAAGTTCTTTCACATCCAAATTGTTTTCTTAATTGAATTTGTTGTGCAATTAAATCTCATTCATTCCCCATAAGTTTTACTTCATGTAGTGTTCATTAGAGATCATTTTTGTTTTTAACTTAACAACAATGGTTCAAAAAAGTCAAGATAAAAAATTTGTTGCAAGAACCAACATATAGAGAAAGTGGAGATGTATTATGAATGCTTAGAATAAGACAGGAAATGGATATCAAACTTCAAATTAATAGCTTTCTAAATCAAAAACTTTTAATGACATTTAAGTTTTGACCTATTTTACACTAATACCTATACTACTCAAAAGAATGATTAAAACACATTTTGAGAGCAATAATTCATCGAAATTACACATCTTCATATTTTAGATATATCTAATTTTCACTATTTACTTTCTTCTTGAAAAATATATGAAAATTGCTTTAGAAGACTAAGAAGAGACTTGGAATGATAAATTTTAACACAAACAGAATTTCAAAATTATCAATTTAAGATAACATCATTTTGAATAATAGAATGAACCTAATTATCAAAACTGAAGTATTATTAGTTCATTAAAGTCCATTTAAATGAAACTTTTGTCATACAGTCAGACCCAAAACAGACAAATGGACATAGATACAAAAGAGAGAAACAGCATAAAAAGAGATAAATAGAAAAATTACACTTGCAATTGTTATTTTTCACACTCAATACATTACAATGGATTCTTGGAAGTTCACCTCCAATTTGTGTATGATGGAAGGGAAAAGAATTTTGTCAACTGGTTTTAATACAATGTAGGCCTATATGTCACCAAATGTTTCTAACTTTCTGTTGTAGGCAGAATATCACAAAGGCAATGAATTTAATATATAATTAAGAGATTATTGCTACAATAACTAGCAATTCATCTCTGAAAATGTTTTGAACTGAAAACACTGAAGAAATGCATTTTAAAATTTAGAACATAAACATTTGGTTATTACTGTAATTTATTGGTAACTGCTATTGATCCATGATGTACAAAAACCATTACCAACAATTGATTTAGAGATCATTAATTGACTACAGGCTTGCAGTTAATTGAAAGAAAGAGAAGCAATAATATTGAATGCCACATCATTACAACTCATCTACCAATGTGAACATGTTATAAACAGCGCACCCAACATATTTTCACATGCACTGTGTAACATCGTTACAAGTGTTAATTGATCTTTGAACCAAACTGACTTTCCTTCTGAGAACAATAACTTGGAAATTTAGATTTTAAACAGCACATATTTCATTAAACATGCATTTTGTAAGACACAGAACACAGAAAGGTCTAGATTTGTAATATGTGTATTGTACAGTGTCTTATGTATTTTTTTTTTTATAGAAGGAAGGATAGTTACATGTTTTAGTAAAAAATATTGTATTTACATCCCACATTTAGATTTCAGTTACTCACTTGCCAAATTATGCTAATAAAGAAAAATCAGTTTACAGCTTAATTAAGAGTGATTATTTTATGAAGAATGTTGAAAAAATCAATCCATGCAAAAATGTTAATTTTTTTATTAAATATATTTTTTCTCATTCATTTTTATTTTTAAACCAACATTTTGACTAATGCATGTATTGATTCTTTCAAATAAAAATGACTTCAATTAACTCACTTGGTTATATGTACAAATACAAATACCAAAAAATTGGTGGTCATATAACTAGAAAGACATTTCCTGTAAGAAAATACACTTGCACTTTATAGTATAAATTGTAAATATTTAAGAAAAAAAATTTTTTTTTGTTTCTTCTACTGACGTTCCTATAAAAGTATTTCTTTAACTTTGATGTAGCTGGGTATTTTAACAATTGTATGGCTGATACAAATGTTTATTTTTAATACTGAAATCTATTATTGACACAGATAATCCTTGAATACTTTCTCATGCTTTCAGTACCTTGCTTTTTAAAAATGGAATTAAATTTTAAAGAACACTTCAATTTTATTGTGTGAATGGTTTCTTTAGAAAATAATTTAGTAGGCAGAATTGCCATTTAATATTTGTCAAGTATAATTTTATGCTTAAATTAAATGTAAAATGATGTTTCTTCTAAAAGAATTGAATCAGATAGTTCCTCAGTATAATGTATTCTTGTCAACAACTAAGTAGCTTGAGAGTGTTTTTTTTACGATTAGGTTCTTAACAAATTTGGATACAGTATTGACATCTAATTTTAGTTGAAATTCTTATACTTCAAATATGACATACATAACTACATGCCAAATCTGTTAAATGAAATTAAAGTCATTTTGTAAAAATTATGGTGAGCACCATCATTATCACAGAAGTTTTCTGAGAGTATCTGCATTTAAAATTTTAAACAAAACATTTTTGTGTTTGTATTTTAATAAAATAGGTATAAATTACAATATTAATTTTTTTAACCAATGTAGTGATAACAATTATTTGTTGTTATATAATTGTAATAGTTATATGAAGATTTAGTCCAAATATTACATTTTCAACTTTAAAAATTCATTGAATTGGGCAATAACAGATCATTGCAATGACTGTATTAAAGAGTTATAATTCATAAGAATGAATCATATAACTTCTAGAAACAAATGAAATTCATTCAGTGAATGTAAAATCACTGTTAATAAATTATTTTCTAGTAATTAATATTTTAAAGTCAAAATATATTGTTTAAATATGATAATACAAAGCATACCATGCAATTTCTTAAATTCTTGTTTAAGTATTGATTTCCTTCATATGAACTGTTCTGTTCTGGTATGAACATGTTTTAATGATTGTTTTCTATGCCATAATGCCAAACTTTCATTTTTAAAATAAGTACTAGAATTCTGGAAGGTATAAACTTCCTAATACCAAAGTTAACTCAGGAGGATATAATACTTCATCTTATTTCTTCTTATTACACATGCAATGAACCAAATATTTTGGATGAAGATATAAAAAAAAGATATAATCATTTCAAATGCACAGAAATGAAATGATGAGCTGATATTAGAAATTTTCAGATTTTTTAAATTTTGATCACAGATAGAAATAATAAAAAGTTTCGTTTACTATAATTTGACAGTGGTATACTTTATGTTATTTTTTAAAATCATAGACAATTTAACAATATTAGTTTGGTGGAAAGTGTAATGGAAAATGAAAATGATAACATTTATTCTATCAAGATGTTATTGAGGTCAACTATAATTTTAAAGCAGTTTACTGTGTCTTTATATTTATGGAACTCATAAAGCATGGAAAATACCCAACTGAAAAGTTCAAATATTTGTATATGTCATATTATACAAGATTAATTTATTTTACCCACCTGTTCCCATGGACGTGACTTGCACAAAAGGCAAAACTGTAGTGGATTAACGTTGGATCTATCATGATACCTTTCTCAGCTCTATCCAATAAATCACTGAGGTAACATAGGTGCCTATAACAGCCTCGGACACCATACCGTGCACAGTATTCATCTAGTACAAAAACTTGTCCGGGACTAAACCAACCCTGAAAAAAAGTATGTAATTATACATCAACAAATAAGAATATTTAATGATATATTTGGTAAAGTAGGTAAAAGGAAAACATTTCTCCTTATTTTAACATGAAATGAAATATTTATGCAAAATCCTTGCAAATATTTCATTCTAATGTAAAAATTGTTTTAATGTTTTTTCCATGGTCAGCACTTTTATTACATCAGGTCTTATGTTCTTTTGAGGAGAAAGAACAGAAAGGAATGTGTAATGGAAAGTTGGGTAATTTACTATAAAACAGTTGAATTTGCTAACCCATTGCCTTTGAGAGAAGAACTTTGCCAACTCATTCCAATTACAAATGTAAATAGAGAGGTGAAATACTATGTTTAGAGTTACTTCAGCTTATATTTAATTCAGTTTTCTCAAGGTTTGAGTAATAAATCTGATAATTTCACATTTTAAACATTTTCTAACTTCTAAAGTTTTCAGATATATTGATATAAAATAATTACAAGAAAGTATTACAAGACAATGAAAGTAGTACAAGGAAATTCAAGATGGTAATCACAGATCCACTTCCTTTTTGTTCAAGTAATTATGTCTGAATGGTCTCTTCACCTGAAGTAATTTCACCACATCTATATTGTACTATATTGTATGTGAAATGCACTTCAAAATATGTATTATGTATTATAAATTTGAATGTTGTAAAATATAGTTTCAAATTTAATGCATTGAAATTGATAGCATGCATAAATCACTTATCTATGTCATGATGATAATGGATAACATTTGTTAAAAGCAATCAGTATCAGACAATTTTTCATATTGTAGTAACCTGAACATTCAATTTTTATGAAAATGAAAATGGAAATAATTTTACCTCAATGGTAACATGTGACCACTTTGCCCCAAACACATTTTTTATTTGACTATTCATAAAAATAAAACTTTTTAGGGACAGTGAGAAACACGATTCTATGAAGAACCTCTGAATCTTTAATTCCACTCTCCTAATTTTTTAATAGAACTAAAACATTGAGAATATTACAACCTTTTTGAGAAGAGTTAACCTTCTAGTTGTGACCATCAGGTCCTGAGGCTCCAAACGCGTATATAACGTGATATTGTTATCAGGGATGCTAAAATTATCTGTTGTTGATGTAAATTCCTTGCTAAGAAAGACATTGTTACCAAGAATTATGTTCTATTGTCTTCTGGTTTGGCTGAAAAATATATTTTGGATCCTGAGTAGAATCACAACTATCTGCAGCGATTTTACATATGCTAAGATGACTTTCATGGCATTCTCAAATCATTATCACATAATAACATTTGAAAAATCACGATGCAGGTGACTGACATCAAGGATTTTCATATTTGTGCCAAATTGAAGAATATAGTGAGCGTTTCACTTGTTGGAAAATGTAGGAAATTGTAGGGAAGTGTTGTTTCTTTTCATTGTAATTACAGTCTAGAGAATGAACAGCAGGAAACAAGAAATTACTATAATAAATCCCATCATGAAACAAAATTCACTATAGTACACAAATGGTAGAGTACTTTTGGAAAATATTGCAAATTACACAATAGCAAAGATGTAGCACAATTTGGGTGGTGGCAGTTTATTATGGACATATCTAAGTTGCTAATGTTTTGTACAACTATTTCAGAGGCAACATAGGTATCACTAAACAAAAGTATTCTAAAAAACCTTGTCTCTTGAAGCCTTGTATATGCTGTTCTCCTGTATACAGAAGTCTATAAACAGAATTAAGACTGGGAATTTTAAAATGTTTGAAGTGTCCTTTCCCTGAAAATAATTCTTTTCAATTAGCAAGTAATGATCATTTTTTAATACCTATCATTAAATATCAATTAAATAAACATTGTTATTCGTATTTAATATCTACTTCCATTTTTATTGTCTCTAAGTTGCTGAGAAAACAATAGTTCCTCAAGATCCATGATTACTATTAACTCAACTATTTTTGATAGCCCTAAAAGGTTTATTATCATATGGTATACAATTTTTGATATAACATAGGATGACTACTTAGTCTTCCCTATCTCTTCACTAATTTAAGAAAAAACTGCAAAAACTACACACTAAAAAATTGTAGATAATTCATTGTTCTCATTATTACAGTTGAAATAAATATATCATAGTAACACATGGTGTAAATGATAAACTGTTCAGGTAGAGGGAAGTCATTGTTAACCCTAGCAGTACCAAGGTATTTTAATGAAATAAAACTACTATTATAATTTGCTGTTAAATATTTGGAATTCAATTCAAACAACAGAATAAATTTCATCACTTGAAAATTTGATCTCACTTCTTCCTCTACTGACATCAATATTTTATTTCAATGACTCACAATTTTTTGTGAACACAATTCACCAACACAAAACAAAACTCAGAACATTACTGTCACTAATTACATTACTGTATCTCAACTGATCATTGCTGTAATTAATTTCTTTGTTGCTCAGATAATTCCTCTTACTAATAGCACTTCTTCATTGAAGTTTAGATACACAAAAACACAACATATGCATAAACCACAATCCAAATTAATACAATTTACTGCTATGAATGCAAATGAATGCAATTTGCTGCTTTTACTTCTACTTGTCTGACTTTGGAGAAGTTCAACAATGTGTGAATTTATACACAACAGAACCATTTCAACAATGAGAAAAAATCTAACCTTAGATGTTTGTTATTATGGTTATCATGTTTGTTATGTGGTTTATTATTATGGTGACATGGAATACCAAGGGTGGGCTAAATCTACTTACCAGAAAAGATTTCAATTCAATGTCTATACAATTCCAAACAAAATGGTAAAGAAAATAGATGAAGTGGTATTAGTAAGTTAGTACCAGATAGCAAAAAATTAAAAATATTATTCTTTACTTTACAGAACTAAAAAAATTAAGAAAAAATGTGCAAATATTACACATCATTGGTACTGCTAGGGTGATTATTAAATGGTACTAGGCAAGTTTTAGCATATTTTTGAGCACGAAATGTAAGTTGTTCTCTTTCTTATTTATGTGTATGTTACTTCACATACCAGAGAACAATAGGGATCATTTAGTCTATAATCCAAAGTTAGAGTTTGCAACATCTTGAAAAGAGAAGCATGATCGAATTTACAAGGATCAGCTGAAATGAATTCTTCCATGCCATGTTTTCTTGCTCGATCAGCATCTGAAAAAGTGTTGAGTTATTTTAATAATTTCTTTATAAATCCTGAACAGTAAAAGAAAAAAGAAGTAAATTGAATTGAGAAATGTCACTAAACCACATTAATTGTGAAGACAATGTTAACTAAGGGTAATGTTAATTATTAACCTGGCAGAGCTTGTGCTAGGTCTTAGAGCCTTGAATCAATTAATTCAATATTCCTCCAAAACAAGACTCCATGATAAAGATGTCATTTCCTATATCTTTTTTATTTTCTCTCCAGTTACATGCAATGATATTTTCCTTAGATGTTTCGAGGAATAATGTTTTGGGATGTGATGGGTCCCGTAGATCTGCTGTGACCATTGGTATAACACAATGTGGACACAATTTCAAGAAAGTGTTTACTATTATATTGAGGTATACTCACAAAAATTGTAGTGGGTCTACTTATCACATTCTAAGTTACATTTTAATGAACTGAAAACTTTATATATTAAAAATATTTTTATGGTAATGAATTCTTAAAACAAAGAGGATGCAAATAGAATACATCAATTATTTTGTAACCAAAATTATAATTTGAAGAACAGACTCTAGACAGATGAAGAAGAATGTTAAAATAGTGCAGAATAAAGGAAAGGTAACAATCAATACTGAACAGAACAAGCAGTAGTCCAGAGGTAGAACGTGTACTTAGTTGAAATGTAAACTACAGACTGTTGTGCTAGAAATTTGTCATATTCAGTCATTAAATCAGAGGAATAGAAAAGAGACTGGTATCAAGAATGTGAAGGAAAATGCAGCATAACTCAATATTTTTCAAGTTTCTCAAATTTCTTCCCTAAAGTATACACACCTGTTTTGTCAGGAGTGCCTGAATAAAAATAAATAATTACTTTATAATAAAAATAATTATTGAATTCTTTTGTTTATGCTTTTTGTTATAGAACAGTTTCCATTAAAAACATGCAATGTTACTTAATTTTTGCATTGTTTTGTAAACGTATTAAATATCATAATAATTTTATACACTACACTTCAACTGTAACTTTTATCTTCCATTTACAAACTTTCTCCATGTTTATATTGCAAGTACAATTTCCATACTTTTCCATAGAAACAAAAAGAATGTTTCGGTCTCATAGGCCCAGAGCAAGTATTTTGTTCGGAAATTTGGGGCAAGCTCTGCCAGGGTAAATAGTGAAAAAATCATAATGTATTACTTCATTTAAAACATTTAGTTTTAAATAATAGGTGTACTCAAAAGCATACAAGCATACATAAGAAACCTACCTCCTTGAATTTTTGATATAGTTGAATTCTTTCCTGCTGGTGTGATGGGAGGAGCGGGTTTGTGAGATTGGCCAGTTGCTCTGTACATGGCCATCACCCATAAATGACATTCATTTTCATCATCACTGGCATATAAAATACTATCCCCTTCTCGAACAGCATTAAAGAAAAATCGCCCACCCTCAAGGTCTACAAGAATAACAATTAAATTAAACACACAGAAATGATATTATGAATAAGATTACTATCAATCTATTTACATTTATTCTGAAACAAATACCCATATTTGTTTAATGGTGTATTTTTGTATTTCACTATGAATGATTCATTTTTTATTAATACAAAATATGTATTACCACATACAGTCATCAAAGTACAACTTACCCATTCCAACCATTAGATTGGCTGAAAGCAACAGTATGCCATGTGAAAATATGCTTTTATTATATATCTATTTATTTATATCATGTATAACCATATATATTTTGAGTATATATATATATATATATATAATTATAGGTATATATTGATATAGTTATATATATATGGTATATATAATGATAATATTATAGTATAGTAGTATATTATAGAGCAAGAAATATTTCATAGATGCTTAAAGTAGAATTTTGTTTCATATAATAGAATGAAATTTTATTATAAAGACAAAGCAATGAAATATTTATTTAATCTTACCACTGGCAGGTTCAATATAATCAACAGTATATCCATCTAATTGCATCATTTCTGAAGGTTCAGACTTTTTCTCTTTGTAACTGCACATAGCAAAAGTGTACTGTGAAACTTGAACCAGTACAAAATATCTTTTCTTCCATTTTTTCCAAACAGCTTTGCCAATGGCATAAAGGTACCTAGAACATTTTATACAACACAAATTCTTTAGTTGATGAAATATAAACTGATAATATTGTTTTAATAATGTATTTTTTACCCGCAATGTTTCATATTTAAAGGTTTATCCATTCGACAAGCAATTTTTATCCTCAGATCAGGGTCTTGAGCATTTTTTGGAACTTGCATTTTATGCCATTCTGGAACCTACATAATAAGAATAAAGTTATGCTTGACCATCTCTATAACTTATCAAAATTTATCTTTTATTCAAGTGTAAATATGAAAACAAAATGAAATTGTGTAATTTGAAACAGATACATAAAAATATTGTTAAAAATATTATGAAAATCTTTATTTATGTTATTTACCTTTGATGACAATGGTGTTGGTTTCAAAATAACTCTTCCAAGTTCCTTGTCTTCCAATGCTAACATACCTGGATTTTCTGTGTATAATTTGACTTTGACTGCAGGTAAAGGATGTGTTGTGGAAAAATCTCCCTGAGTATCCCACCTAGAGGAAAATTATCAGGATGAATGAAAAAGTAATCAGATAGTAAGAAGAAAAAAAGAGAAAAGAAAGAAGAGTTAAATGAATGATTATTATATTTCTTTTAATTGGATTTCATAATAATTAAGAATTTGAAAGTAAGTGAGCAAATTTCACATCCGTTTCAATTCAGCATTGACTTTGTACTCAAGCATTTGTGTTCTATCATTATAACGCACTTTAGTAGATATGATTTTAATTGTAAACTTGTAGTAATAAAGCAACTCTTACATAGGTTTAGATGCTTCAGCCTGATCAGTCTGTAGCTTTTCACCTCCTTCTACCTCCATTGTACAATATACTATTCGATTTGGAGCTAAAGATTTCAGTCCTTTTACTTCCATAACAACAACCTGGATACAGAAAGTTGATGGAATTAACATTCTAATGAATTGTTTAAGCAAAATCAAAATCAAATACTAGATTATTTTTAAGATATAATACCAATTTCCTGTAAATTGTTTTAATTAGCCTATTTGTGAACATATTTTACACATTAAAAAAAATTACATTTTGAAAACAGTGTAACATTTGATATTGACATGGAAATGGACAGGCACGCCAATTGTTATTGAATATCAATATACCTTATTTTACTGTGTATTATTTTAAAGAAAAGTTCACATAGCAAACCTAGTAGTTGTCATTATACCACAAAGAAATGACATCAAGCATAAAAGATGATGATAATCAAAATTTTAATTTTTGTAATACTATAATTTTTTGCTCCTTCCATCTCTTGCTATCTCATGAAGTATGATACTCAAATACTTCAATGTAAGGCTCATAGATGGCCCCTGTTAATGTCAGTTTTATGTAACCCACTTACACCCTTTAAATGGAAATAAACACTTGCCCATATTTTGAAAGAGTTTCTGTGTGGGATATAATGTTTTACACCCAATGCATTAAATTATTACATTATAATCGAACATGATGAAAACTTTCTTCCGATAATGACTGATATGATTTAAATAATACCTAAAAACTGTAACAATAAAATTTTTGTAAAGTTAATTGTTCAATAAGTTTTTTTGCAAACACAAACAGACAATAGAGAAGAGAATGTATGATATGGGCAACAAAGCAACATTAGACAACTATCAATTTGATTGCAATATGTTATGAGAGTAAAGCACAGGCAGAAGAATAATTTTGAAACTGTTGTTCTGAATAACTGAAAACTGCTATTTTGAAAAATCTGAAAAACTTGAAAATGCTGAAACTGCTGAAAACATTGTAGCAGTGGATTAAAGATTAACATCTTACCTTCTTGAATACATTTGCTACATGATAACAACAAAATAAAAGCATATTCTGTAAAACAATATATTTTATGCTTATTAAATAATACAAAACTATTACAATATTACTAAACTAAAATGTCATGTACAATATTATCTAGAACTAATTTTATGGCACAAACAACTCATAAATAGAAGATAAATCAGGTAAATAATATTTCAAACAAAATGTAATTAAAGGCAAAATTTGTTTTCATAAGATTAGATTGATATAACTGTTTGCATGTCTATGTTTGCAGACTATGATACTGATGTTTACAGGTTCAAATCTGCTCCAAGTTGAAGAATTTGGTTGTTGGAAATCATTATATCACACAGTTTTCTCCAGGAGCAAAATAACAGTTTCTCACATTAAATACATTTAGGGTTTGTTAAAGGACCATAAGCCGAAAGAAGCTTATGATCATAATTTCTATAGCCTTTTCCTAGTAAAATTAATAGATCCTACCTTCTTTCAAGATCAAATAACAGTTTGCCTTGAACTGTTAACAGGCCTGTCACCTGTCATAATAAATTTTGATGCAAGTATAATGGAATTAATTGATGATGAATATTGGAATCATCTCATTTCCTCAGAACAGGCTTACAGCTTTATCCTTGCTGCTGCTGATGACGATCTATTTCCTCGAAGTAAGAAATCTTTGCTCTGCTATCCATTCTTGCCTTCTTAACATCTTCAACTTTCATTATTTAATTCTTTACAGAATGCAAACCTAAGCTTTTTGTTCTCAGTAGCTCAAATAATTGATCGATTTAAACATTTGAAAAAGGAAAGTATTTGTTCTCTCCCTAGATTATATTTTGAATTCACTTGTGATAAGATGTGCAATGAAAAGGTCTGTACATGAGAGGTTAAGAGTCCAAATTTACAACTTCCATAATACTTTACAGGAGGAAAGAAAAACTATCTGCTCCATTAGTTGTAAAGTAAGAATCTTAGATTTTTTTATCAAGCTCTCTAAGATGGGAGTGCATGCATTTAATATCTTTTGTCATTCTTTCTTGCAATTATTGTGATATCAAAACCTGAAAATCACTGAAAATGAAGTTCTGATTCTTGATCTCTAAGGAATAGAATATTAACCTTAAGATGATGTTAAAATATGTCTTTTAAGAAGAAACTAACTTCTATATAAATAGTTTTAAGATAAATATTTTCTGTGTCTAAAATAACTTTTAGATATTTAAGTCTATTGTACTAATCAGCATGTAACATACTTTTTCACATAACAGTTACAACTGATGTTCTTTCTGTATTTTACTTACAGTCCTTTAAACTCTGATACTGCCATAATGAGAACTGAACTTCAATGTTGTCATTTTTAAGCCTTTCTCTTCACTGTTATGAGTTCTCATAGAAAAAAGTACTTTGCATATTAAATGGAGGTACAAATTGTTTCTTTACAATATCCCTAACAGAATCAGGACAATTTCCTCATTATTTTGATTCCTGGCTCAAAATGTCTCTTAAAATTAGAATAAGTGTTATATACCAATGCATGCTATATGCCATTCATATTTCTAGATCCAAAAATGAGAAAACATTTTCTCTTGCTTTTTAAGTAAGAGTAAAAGTATTCTATTACTCAACATTAATGTTGTTCTTATTCTACTTTTTAATGAAAAGAACTCACTCTCACAAATTGAAATTAGCAACATTGGTAAAATGTTTCCAGAGGATATGCCATCAATACAAAAAGTCCATTTAATATAGGTTAACGCTGCAAAGGAAGTTGTAATTCAGCTTCTAATAATGTTTCACATGAAAATAACAGTTTTTCTGCTGAAAATTCGCCGTTTTTTTGCTCAGCATTTTATAACTTTTTTTTATTGCACAAGCCTTAGCGAGAAAGTACAAAATTATCAAACATTTCATGACCATTCCCCTTCTGATAAAAGAGGCAATTGTAAAGAGCAATAGAAGTAGTACTGGAGTAGATTAATAATAATCCCAATCACCATCAATATGGCAATGGTACCATCAGTAGTAGCCAAGGCATTGGAATTGAGACACCACAAATGCTACAGAATTTGTATCTGTTTGATGTCAAGAAAAAACTTTCACTTTAATAATTATCCTTCATGAGCACTTGAGGTGTAGTCACCTGGTAAATTAGTTTTGAATAAGTTAAATTTTAGGGTCGGAAGAATGTTTTGCTAACCCACGTTTCACATATCTGAAATAAATATCATAGTATTTCTCATAAAAAACAAATATTATGATCCAAATGCTGTACAAAGGTGTTCATAGAACAACAGTTTGCGCATAAAGAAGAGAAAAACATGTAAACAAAAACTGATCATGTCATGATTTAAAAAATCTTTACTTTTCCTCTGGTTGCCGAGAATTGCGAAATTGCAGGTCAACATTATGTTGTACTGATCCTGTCAAGTATTATGAATCATGATTACAAGTCTATTTATTTTATACTCTACATGTACGTGCATCCTTTGCAATGAAAAATTAAATAAATAAATAAATAAATAAATAAATAAATAAATAAATAAATAAATAAATAAATAAATAAAAAGTAGGTAATTAATTAATTAATAATGCAGACCCTGCTGAGGTAGAAGGATGGTTCATTATAGAAATAGTAAACAAATCAAAATTTCTCAAAATTAACAGATTGCTGTCATTCATGAATTTCTTTTAGATTGAATGAAGTCAAATATATATTTTGTATTCTGATCCTCCCTTCATGTCCTTGTTAATAGTTCAAGAATTAATGGTACAAAAAACATTTCTTTCATCTGAAGTCCAATATTCAATATCTATTTTTTCTATCTTTCTGTATTCTGTGTACTTTTCTAATATTTATAACACTTTTGATACCATGTAATTTTCAGAATATAACAAATAACCTGCATTCTCTCTAATATAATACAAGATAACATGCTCTTCTTTATCACTGCAAAAAGTGTTGTATGTCTAGTGACATTAATTATTATTAGGGAAATAATAATGAGGAGCACAAATGTTAATATTATGATAATGAATACCAAAACAAGATGTACACTTATCAAGAAAATTACACAATTATTTTCAACAAAAAAAAATCATTATTGTGTATGGATATATTTATGAAATTAGTAGAAAATAAAAATTATAGCATTCAAATATATGCATACAATTCTGAGAAAATATAGCAACACCTCTTTTTATACTTTTACATGGTTCAAAACTTATTTAAATTATATTATCGAAAAATACATTACAAATGACGAAAGAAGAACATTTTACAGAATTATTTGATTTGAAGAAGTAATTTTTATAGAGAATAATGGAAAAGTGTTAAGAGTCATATTAGTTTAAAAAACAGTTATCAATATTACTAAAATATCTCAAATATATTTGAAACATACCTCAAGCTGGAAGGTCAAGACAACATCCATTTTTGTGAGTTGAGTGTCACTGTCTGCTGAATCTCCTTCCAGCTTTGCCAGAGAGCCCTGTGACCTGCCGTAGAACATTAAGCTCTTCAGTTTCGTTCTCTCCCTAAATATCAATGCATAATTGCTAATTGTGAAGAAAATAGAAAATTCTTCAAAAGCTCCATTGCAGCATCCTATGAGTTTTACTTAACAAGAGCAAGACTGTTAATCATGTTTAGTTGCAATTCAATAAAGATTTTCTTCAAAGAAAATAAGTTATGTAATTGTAAAGAAAATTTATATTGTGAATTATTGTTTCAAACATTATTTTAACAATTACTTCTTTTAACTATTTCTTTGCATCTACAATTATTTGTTAAGTAATAACTCATTATTGCTTAGCAATATAAAGTGCAATAATGTAACAGTGGATACAAATTTATCTTACATTCAAAATTATAAAAGCAAACACTAAAATGAAATATGTTTCCAAGCTGTGATTGCAAGTACAATTTTCAGCCATTATAGTAAAAAATAAATAATTTAAATAAAAATAATGCCAAAGCTCTACCTGCCTTAGGACAGAGCTTCTCCTTCGACTACGGACAGCAAAAGAAGAAAGAGTATTATATTATTAGTTAACAAACCAAAATAATTTTCTGCCATTTGCTGTATTGATACATAACTGTAACAAAAGTATAAGTAACTATTTCAGCACCACTAAAAAATAAAGGGACATGTGAAGCATTATCGACAACAGGAACAACAACAATAGCAGCAGAAACAGTCTGATGAATGGTGCCCAAACTGGACTACATTTTATTCATTATTGCATGCTCAATGACAATAATTGTGCAAAGAACATGTCTATCAAATGCAGCACATTCTTAGCAATATGCTAATGCAGAGAAGCCATCTATAAATTAAAAATTATTTATTTTCTCATTACAAAAAAAAAATTGCACCCTCCCATCCTAACTGCCTTCCTGCTATCTGTGAATAAGAGAATGAAACTAAATAAGAAGTTGATCAAATAGACAGGCAATTTCAAACAATGATAATTGTATTAAGGCTAGTAAGGATGAAAGTATATTCAAAGATACAGTAGATGAGACAGATATACATTTTGTCTGAAAAATATGAGAAAGAGAGAGGAGAGAGGGAGAGAGATAAAGACAGAGCGAGGGAGAGGGTCAGTGAAACAAATGAAAACTATTGGTGATACAACAGCATATACTTTCTTGTATTATTTGTAACTTTTGCAATTTCCAAAAATTCATAAAGTTCAATAAAAATTAGACCTGCACAATTTTTAAGAGTCTCTTGCTCTATCCTAGGAAAGGAAAATAAAGAAAACCACTGAAGCAGTTTTTAGAAAAGAATAAAAATTGGGTTAATTTCAAGAAAAAATTACGCAAAAACGTTCTTTACAAAAATTGAACATGACTTTATTTAACCCTTCGAATCTTTCTCAAACACTTATGTGGACTCGGTTTGGGGTCTTTTTTGACCCCAAACATTTTACATTTGTAGTGTATTGTTCATTTGTAGTGTCAATATTTTAAAATTTTCAAAAATGCAAAGAGTTTGCGGCCTTTATCAGCATTCTTTGCCCTAGCAGAAATATGTTCTGACGTCAAGATAATCCTTAAATGCGTAAATGTCTACAAATGCGAGAAATGTGTGCAGCTTACAAGAAATTTTTTTTTCTGAAAAGGTGAGGCAAACAATTTATTGAACTGTGGACCATATAAATGTGATATGTATGTATATGATATGTATCAGTTGCTTAGAAAATTATTGTTTAAAAACATTTTAAAATTGCCTATGTTTACACAAAATTACTCATATTTCCTTTTAATAATTTAAATTTTGTGAAAACTACACATATTTTCGAAAAATTGTACTTGATCTTATTTTAAGATTTGTCTTGAACAGATTTCATTAAGGAAAAAATCTATTTCTTCAATATTGTAGTTGGAGGAAGACCCCAAAATAATTTAGAACTTTTGCAATTTTCAAAAAGTCAGATATTTCAAGGAATATGAGATCTGCACCATTCTTTTCCACTTTGATCAACACCACCTGGACATACATTAATCTTAACACACCATCTTTTGTCCACCATCCTTTGCGCGATCCAAACAGTTTAACGAGACAGTTTAATCAACAAATTTGGAGTCATTTTTCAGAAAATTTTGAAAATCTTTTTGAGGCTTCATTACCCTGAAAAATCAAAATATCCGTTTCAAACTCAGAGGGCCTTGAGTTTTAAATTGATGGAGGAATATCATGTTTGGAGAAAATTGTCTGAACGATTTTGGCACTAGCTTTGACCATGGACAGATAAAACAAGGGACACTTAAAAGAATGGCACAGTTCTCATTTTTGTTGAAGTCTCCAAATTTTCGTAAATGGCAAATTTAGACATCATGCGAGAAAGTATGTGCTATTGAGCCTTTTTAATTAATTTTATGCCTGGAATAGAGCAAAGTACGGTTGTAAAACTGACCCATATCTCATTTTCGTTGAACTATGAATTTTCAAAAACTACAATTTTGATAATAGCCATTTTCCACTTAAATAAGTCATATAAAACTATAGATTGAAATAGCGTCAATTAACATCTCTGAATGTTTCAAATGCGTAGACCCAATTTGTAGTTTTGCAGGTTCATGTAGTATTATAGCAAGAAAGTAGAAAGGTTTGTATGTGTTGTTGAAGCACCACTAATTTTTACAAATGGGTAAGGCTCAACTTCCTGCAAACATTCAAAGATTTTTATTTACATTATTTCAAATTCTAGTTTTAATGAGCAGATTTCATTACGGAAAAAATCTCTATCATTGATATTGTAGTTTATGGACGTTTTGAATTTTAGAGATAGGTATGTCCTTCACATAAATGTGGTAATCACATACTCGGTCGTGGCGGCGATTTCTCGGAGCGTCACTTGCAACGACCAACAGCCGTAGGCATCGTTGCTTCGCGCCCGTTCCTACCCCGCTTTTTACTCTTTTTAGCTCGACGAATCGGGTAGCAGGGCCCCCCGGTAGTAGCCAAGGAGGCTATTTTGAAGTGGTGACGGATGAAGCGCCGCTGAGGTGTCGGGGTACTTGGATTTTGATTCTTGACTCGAGCGGGCGCTCGCTAGGTGAGCTCCATTGGCGAATTGCTTTTATACAAATTTCAGTCGTGTTAATGTGGATTTGGAATATTTTTTGCGATCGTTCGGAAATTTTTTGAAACTGCTTGGGCGGCCTCACCAGGCAACGTAAGCCTGCCGCTACTCATTGGGCGGCAGCTTACACAGAGCAGGCGACGACGGAGGTGCAACGCATCGACCGCCGCTAAGTTAAAAGAGCGTGTTCGCAGATATGGAAAGCGCGCTGACAACCGACGCAAAATATGCATTTGAGAGTTACGTTGAGTGACGACGCAAAATGGGCCAATGATGATTAGGAACATCCGCGGCGAGCCGGCTGAGGTCAAGGCCCCATCGATGGCCGCTGCCTCCACAGAGCCTTGGAACGGCGAGCGTTTAGGCGGCAACGCGCCAGCAGGAATAGACGGCAACTGAAAGGGCTGCGAACTGCAGGAGCTGATGCAATGCACGCTTTGTGACGCAAAAGGGACGTGCGTTTACCATTGTTTCAATTTTTTGTTCAATCTTTTATTTCGTTAATGAAAATTTCTTTGAGTAGTAGACCGCCCCAGGACCTAATTTTACTTCATTCCATCACCGCGCTCGTCTCATGTTTGAGAAATAAAATCAGTGTTACTAGTGGATGTTGTGTTTTAAGTGTACCTCTTCGTTACTTTCCTTACCCACTAGCGTCAAATAAATTGGTCAGGAAACTTAACGCTGACCTTTCGTCAAGGCTAGCCGGGCAAAGACTGACGCGCTGCTATCTACGCGCAGTGATTTTACTTGGTCATATTTGATTTAAAAAATAGACATTCACATTGTAAGCTTATGCAATTAAAAATTAAACTTCGTTTAATATACTTGGTCAAAATTAGAAAAAAATATTGCTTATTAAATGAAATATCACAGTTTTCATTATACAGATACGTGCGATATGATATAAATATAAAACATAATAAAAATACCATGGAACTTCTACATTCAGTAGTCACATGAAATTAATTTTACAGCTGGGGAAAAGTTGCACTTCTCGTACAACCCTTTGAGGCAGGCGATACATCTTAACCATTCTTTCCCTTTAACTTTCTCACTACCGCTTTCGAAATTGTGAGAAAATTACGTAAAGCTGCGAGACAAACGGCCACATTTCGGCAGAAAATTTCCGTCCATCTGTCCGCCTATCCATGCATCAGCGAACAACGCTAGCGTCTAAACCGTTCAGCCGATTTTCTCCAAAACTGATATTATTCAATCGATCGGGCTGATGTTTGAAAGGAATGTGAACCCCTTGAATTTGAAACCAACATTTTAATTTTGAGGGGCTCTTTACTTGAAGCCCCTGGGACATTTTCAAAATTTAAAGAAAATGGCTCGATCGTTTTTTATTAGATTTTGCTGGTGGATAGTGTGAAGGACGTTTAAGTGAGTGATGCAGATCTCATTTTCGTTGAAAACTAATTTATCGAGAATTGCAAAAATTCAATTTCCATCGTCTTCCTACAACTACAATTTTGATCATCATATTCATTCAGACCATAGAGATTTTTTCTTTGAATGAAATATGTTCCTTAAAGATAGATTTTGAAATAAGGTCATGTACAATTTTTCGAAAATTTGAGTACTTTTCGTATACTTTTGCGTGAAATTACGGGCAGGAATGTACGTGCTGTTTTATCATCACTGCTTTTAGTTTCTCATCTTACTACGTAAGAAGAGAATAAATTACTTCCACTGTTATGCAAAAAAGTGGCGCTGATCCGACTTTCGGCGAACTCTGAATTTCCGAAAATTGCAAAGAATTAATATCGCAAATTAACATTGCACAATATTGGAGATAGAGATTTTTTGTCATAATGAAATATGTTCTAAAAACTCAAACTTTAAAACGACTATGAACAATTATAAAAAATGAGAAGTTTTCGCGTAATTTCTGCTTA